TCGGCCAGCTGTCGAGCAAGACGTTGACGCTGTCTTTGTCGTGCTCTCTTTGATAATGCCGGAGCGTCTTCAGAAGTCATCTCCTCGGCGGAAGAGGAGTCCGGATCTGCGATCTCGACCATTTTGGATGACGCGGGGACGTCACGTGGTGCAAGTGCAGAGGAGGAGTCCGGATCTGCGATCTCGACCACGTTGGACGACGCGTGGACGTCACGTGGTGTAAGTGCAGAGGAGGAGTCCGGATCTGCGATCTCGACCACGTTGGACGACACGGGGACGTTGCGTGGTGCAAGTGCAGAGGCGGCAACGGGGTTTTGGATTTTTGAACCGAAGGACCTGCAATCATTTATGAAAGAGGTTACCTTTCTGTACCCGTTTGGAGAGGCGGATCTGGAGGAGGAGGAAGAGAGGCCTTCTTTGAACTGTTGTTGATCGAGCTCGTGTTCTTCATTCACCCGGATCTTGAGTGTTGGTTGCGTCACGACGGCGTCGGTTGCGATGCCGTTGGCTCCCACTGTGGTCGCCAGTCTGTTTGCGGAAAAAGTTGCTGTATTCATTGCTGCATTCATTACAACTTTGATCGTTACAATGAAATAAAAAGATAGTCTTTTTATAAGACCGGTACACAATGAAAACAAAAGAAATACAACTCTTTTCAAACAAACGCAAGATCTGTTTGTCATCTCTTGCTTGCGTGGGTCTTTGGCCTGTGACGGGGACGTTGATATCCGTGGACCACCGGCCAATCCGATCCGCTCCGAGAAAATCGGGCAGAGCTTCGTCTATCCGCGAAGGGATATAGAAGCAGAACTTCGTCGATCCGCGTAAGATCTAGAAGTTTTAAAGCGTCTATCTCGGCTAAGCGAGATATTAGCTCTTCTTAGTATTAACGCCAAGGGCTAATACTAAGGCCAAGAGGGAACGGGTGATGAAGGCGCTGATGTAGACCTCTCCTCTTCTTGTTGAAGCGCACGGCCACTCTCCACTGCAGCAGGGCTTTAGACACCCCAGGGGTATCTCGGCAGGCCGAGACACCCCTGGGGTGTCTTGGTTTTGCCAAGACACCCCTCGGGTGTTTCGAGCTTGCCGAGACACCCCCGGGTGCCTCAGTTTAGTCCGAGGTCCTTCCGGGTGTGTTTGCCGTTGATTCGTCGTCCCAACTCGGATTTAAATGCAGGCCGAGACACCCCTGGGGTGTCTTGGTTTTGCCAAGACACCCCTCGGGTGTTTCGAGCTTGCCGAGACACCCCCGGGTGCCTCAGTTTAGTCCGAGGTCCTTCCGGGTGTGTTTGCCGTTGATTCGTCGTCCCAACTCGGATTTAAATGATTTCGGATGCGTTGGAATTCTGACGAAGAGCTCTGTCAGCCCCCATGGTTGAATTATCAGTGGGGTGAACGGGACACGAAGGGCGTCGATGCACGAAGGGCGTTGTCTTATTTGTGAACAGTGCCGGGTTCCCGATCGGTCCGGGTCTTCGTTGTTCCGAAATCCTATCCGCTCATGTAGCTCGTTGATTCACTTCAGTCGTTCGTCGACGTCAATTGAACTCCTGTGGATCGGATGGTGACGTTCATCGTCGCTCTCTAACACTGAACCGTTTGTGAAGACCTATAGGCAATTTTTGATGCCTACAACTAACCGGCAACGCGTGTTAGGCGTAGGCTTATCTCTATTTAGGAGTCGAGATAAAATTCCCCGTGCACCAAGTGCCCGGATTGGAAGTTGAGAATTGTGTCTTTTCTAAGAGCAAAGACAGACTGAGAAACGGGAGAGGAAGAATTTTATATTCTATCTCCCGGTGCTGAAGAGGAAGAATTTTATATTCTATCTACAGCTGGAAAGGAAACTCGAGGTGGGATCTCCACCCCCAGAATCCGGAAGGATGAAACTAAGAGTGGGATCTCCACTCCGGATGAAATCAACTATTAAACAGCTCTTAAGCACAATCAATATTTTCTTAAACACCAAACTTGGATTTCTTGGTTATTGAGAGGAAGAGCAGCAATGGGATATATATAGCACCCCAAAACAACAGTAAAAAATAGGTAAAAGACCAAAAACCCAGTTTGAAAATGGTTAGAAAAACTAGCCGTTAGAAAGGTTCTGACAGCTCGTCGGTCGACCGGTTCGGTCGACCGCTAAGTTCAAAAACTCAGAAGAATGAGGGTATAAAGCTGGCGGTCGACCAACGGAATTTTCGGTCGACCAGAAGTTCTCTCGGTCGACCGGTGCGGTCGACCGCAAGTATGAGCTCAGAAAACAACTGTCGGTCGATCGCACCGGTCGACCGAAAACTGATATGCTGCATATGATAGGTTTTAGGGGCTGTTTTGAAAATGTATTCAAAATATCAAATCAACTCCAAAAATAGTGAAACTTTGGGGAAAGTTTCTAAATGATAAAATAAACATGTTTAAAAAGGAATTTTTGGAAAATCAATTTTCGTTTGTGAAAACTCCCAGTTTTTTAAAAGTGTTCAGAAAACCTGTTTTTCATGAACATAAAAATTGACATAGAGCTTGTAATACATGTATATATATATTGTGCATATATTATATGTATATAATAAAGTATGAAAGAGCTGTAAACATGAGATAAAAATTATTGAAACAACATTTGATGAAAAATCATTTATATGATAGAAAACGTCAAAAATCGTGTTAAGTGTACATATATTGAGCTTAGTTATAATCATACAATATATGTAAGTAAACTAAACATATACCTAGGTAAATCCACACAAATAAACTTGAATCTTTAACGCTTGATTGACGTGTGTTGAAATACCTGAAAAAAAGAACATAAACACAAAACACTAGAGAACTTATTAGTAATAAATTGTTTGCCAAAACATCATCAAAACTATAGGGTCAACAATCTCCCATTTTTTGATGATGGCAAACAATTTATACATGAATATGAAATATAAACTGATAACCCACATATAAGGCAAACATTAAACTGATAACCCACATATAAGCCAAACATGAATAAATCATACATGAATGATCACATGAACCATATATAAAAAGAATCAATTTGTAAACCATATGTGGTATTTTCTCCCCCTTTGACAACATCAAAAAGGAAAAAAAAGAAACAAATTAGGAGCAACGCTCCCCCTGCATATAAGCACAGATAATAAAAATGTATACCAAAAGCTCCCCCTGTCAAAATTGAATAAATGACATCTATAGAACATATATAGGAGCTAAACAACAATTATCCAAAATAGCATAAACAATATAAGTAACTCAATTTCTACAAACAAAACATGATTATTGTTTTAACCATGCATTGATCATAAAAAGGATAAACTAGCATAAACAATCACAAATCATCATTTAAGCATCATAGATGTGCATAAATATACAAAACATAAAAGGTCACATAAAACAGACATAAATGTAGTTTGTTCCTCAAAGCATCATAGAGTTATTATACTCAAATAAAACAGAGTTATCAAGTTTTACAACCCAGAAGAGAACATCAAAACAAATATGAACATCACATAAAGGAACTCAAATCAGTCATCACCATTACCATCACCATCGTCATCACCATCTCGATCACCATCATCATCACCATCATCATCACCATCTCCATCACCATCATGATCACCATCATCAGAAGAGCCTGAGCCATCAGCATGGTCCTCACCAGAATCAGACTCAGAACTAGAAGAGGGATCCAGAATCCCTAGAGACTGACGCTGATATGAAAGAATTGTCCTAACATCCCTTTGAATAGTTGAGACCTATAGTTGGGAGGATCATATTCCACTAGTCGAGTTCGCTTATAACAATAGTTATCAAGCGACGATCGGTATGGCTCCATATGAGGCATTGTACGGGAGGCCCTGTAGATCGCCGATATGTTGGGCGGAGCCAGAGGACAGCTTGATGCTTGGGCCAGAGCTAGTGAGGCAGACTATCGAGAAGGTAGCATTGATCAGGGAGCGGATTTTAGCCGCTCAGAGCCGGTAGAAGAGCTATGCCGATAAGAGACGAAGACCCTTGGACTTTCAGGTGGGAGACTTAGTTATGCTGAAGGTGTCGCCTATAAAAGGTGTATAGCGATTCGGATGACGGGGGAAGCTTGCGCCGAGATACATTGGACCATTTCAGATTCTGGAGCGTGTTGGAGTTGTGTCATACAGACTAGATCTTCCAGCATCGATGTCTAGTATACACAATGTGTTTCATGTTTCTATGCTCAAGAAACACTTGCATGATGAGGAGCAGCAGCGAGTATTGGATACCCCAGAGATTGAGCTTCAGGAGGATTTGACTACTGTCGAGATTCCGGTTCGTATTCTCGCCAGAGAGGACAAGAGACTTAGAAACAAGGTAATTCCATGGTGAAAGTTCAGTGGAACCGAGGAGGCATTGAGGAGATTTCTTGGGAGCGTGAAGAGGATTTGCGTCGCGACTACCCACACCTGTTTGAACAGGTAAATTAAAAATTTTTATGATGTGTATCTTGCATGATGTTCATATCTTTGATTATATTTACATTTAATACTAGATTGGGAATATTCGCGCTTAATTCTTAATCTTTCAGAACACATGGTATATATATGGGGGGTTCCTTGTTTGGATTTTTCACCCGATGTACTAGTTCCACTAGATTAGGATTTGAGCGGGAATATTACCATTTTAGATCGTTAAGTATAAATGTCTCTATATGTTTATCTGGAAGTTTATGTTTCGAGATGCGTATGGTTTCCGAATTTCGAGGACGAAATTCTTCTAGGGGGGAGAATGTAGAACCCTGTAATTTTTATATGAATATATGTGAATTATTAGTAAATAAATAATTCTTTTATGATAAATAGCTTGAGGTCATTGATATACATGATAATAAGTTATTTGAGATGATATGAGAGTTTGGGTGTAGAGTTTTGTGCGTTGGTTTTGCAAATTAGCAAAACATGCACAAAAACTGAATTTTTCCAGATCAGTCGACACATCAGTCGACTGACTGTATCGGTCGACACATCAGTCGACTAATAAGCTGATTTCCAGTTTTTACAGGTTTCGGGTCTGTTTTGTTTTGGTTCGGGTTTGGGTCGGGTTTAGCTGTTCATATATTTTCTTTTTCACCCGAATTCACCCCTCTCACCTTCAGATCTGAGAGAACCCTAGCCCCCTCTCCTCTATCACAAACCCTAGCCTTATTCTTGGTGATTTAGGGAAGAACTTGGGGGATTTTTCGTCAAAATCTTCACATTGCAGCAAGAGGATCCTCTCTCAGATCCAGGAGTTGTTCATCACCCAGAGGCGAGTAACATCTCGCCCAACTCTGCCCCTTTTGTTTTACAGGAATTTATTGTGTTTAATGAGTTTTGATTTAGCCAAAAACGTATTTTTAGTACAAAGAATGAACCTTTATGGTATATAAGGTGGGGTTTTGAGCATCTCAGTTTATAAAAGAACCAACAATGTTTTACTAAGGAGATCTAGATCTGAAATGTGTGTATAAGAGATTTAACATGAGTTTTGTTTTAACATGAGATTTAACATGAGTTTTGTTTTAGAAATGTTTTAAAACATAAATACACATGTTTAGGGTTTTGTTTATGTATTCACATATGGGATTTTTGTTTCAGTTTAGTTCATACATGTTAATATCAGTATTTTCATGCTTGGGATTGATGGGGATGAGTTTAGATCAAATTTTGTGTAAATAGCAACCTGTACAGAAATAGCAACCTGTGCAGAATTTCTGCAGTCTGTCGGTCGACTGATTAGTCGACTGATGGGCAAATTTTCAGTCATCAGTCGACTGATCAGTTGACTGACGGGCTGATTTTGTTTACTCAGCTTCTCAGTCGACTGATCAGTCAACTGGTAAGCTGAGGCTGTGCTGTCTGAACCTTATCAGTCGACATATGAGTCGACTGACGTCATCAGTCGACACATCAGTCGACTGATGAGGTGTTTTACAGATTTTTGATCTGTTTGAGTTGCTTTTTTGGGGTCGCCTCGATGACCTGACCCTAGTTTACCATGTTAATGATTTATCTGTACATGTGGATTGACTTTTGACACATGTTTAGACATGTACACCGAGACGCGTGTGAGTATAGAATATGTATATCAGTCCGCATTTACTTTTCACAGTTACACAGTCCTCGTGTTGGACTATAATCCATAGAAGTCCTCGTGTTGGACTATAATCCATTTTTTGTCCTCGTGTTGGACATTTGCCACTTATTCCATATGTTTGGAAACCACAGTATCTAGTTTCTGTATCGGACATACTTTCTTAACACTGTATATGACTTTCTCACAGGAGTTTATGACATGACACTTATGTAGATTATAACATGGCATACATGTAAGTAATAACATGATGCTCATGTAAGCTATGACATGGCACTGTACTTATGCTCTGAGATTAGTTGTATTTCTTTTATTATTGTTTCATGTACTAGAACCTCGGGTTTAGTGTTTAGGGATTTACAACTTGAGATATAAGGTATATACATGAGGGTTTCCTTGTTTGGATTATTTCGCTCGACGTACCTATGTTCGTGTTGTAAATTTCTAAATACTAAAATCCTCTTTAGTAAGATCAATGATTTTAGATCTATTATGTATTATCTATATTTTCTTACAAAACGAGCCCTGTTCCCTTGGGGTTGGTTGTGATGTTGCTCGCTAGCGCTTTGACGCTCGTTGTCCCTCCCCCTTTCAGGTAACGAGCCAGGAGCCCGGAGAGTCGCAGGGTGATGGCGACACACTTTAGTGTTCAGCTGTCTATTTTAGCTATGTTTTATTTTGGAGCTCCACTGTAGATTTGTTTGACATTTGAGGACTATTCTCTAGATGTTGTAAAGGCTGTATGCCTTATTTCCTTTACTCAGATATTTGTACTTGAGACTTGTTGAGTATTCCAGTTCATCTACTCAGACCTTGACTATGTTTTTTTGTATGTTGGATGATGAGATATTTATGTGATCATTATCATTTCATCAGTATTTCTTGTATTATCTTTTACTTGCTTTTGTACCTACACCTGTTGTTGACTCTACTAAATAGATGTTAATTATGATGGTAAAACATATTATTGCACAGTGTGGTGCATGGCAGGTTTGACATTCTTGGTTTCACCTTGGACTGCAGCCTTGTGTGAACCCAGGGGCGTCACAGCTGGTATCAGAGCTCTAGTTCCCGTATCCTTAGGATCATCCTGTGTCGAGTCGTGGAGCTAGGATAGAGTTTCTTAGGGTTCATGTATAGAGTCCGTAAGGAATTCCTAGTATGAGTGAGGACGATATATGTGTATATCTCAAAATTTGAGAAAATTTTTTTATGACAACTATTTGGTGTAAATTCAAAGTATTTGTGTGAATACTATATGTTGTGAAAATTGTATTGTGATACGCTATTTATAGAAGTCTATTTTGACTCATAAATTCTTATTTTCTTATGATCAGAGCAATGGTAGGACGTTGTAGGCCTCGTACCAGGAGAGCTAGCCAGGCAGAGTCACAGCAGACTCCCTCAGAGCAGTAGCCAGCTCAGTCCGAGCCTCAGCAGGCTCCACCCGAGCCGCAGCAGGCTCCTCAGTATTTGGTGGATATCATGGCTCCTCTTATTGCCCGGATGACAGCCATTGAGGAGTTGGTAACGACTCATATAGCACCTCAGACACCACCACCACTGGTAGCTCAGCAGCAGGGGATACCCGACGTTCCTGTCAGAGAGAGATCCCTAAGGATCACATCCGCAGCCATTCCTCTAACAGTTCTAGATAGAGCCACAGAGCAGGAGGCTTGGCTCCGTATGGTGGAGAGGTACCAGAAGATGAGGGCACCAGAGTTCCAGGGGTCACCAGACCCCCTTACAGCCCATAAGTGGAAGGAGGACGTGAGCAACATACTTGACATACTGAGTGTAGATTCAGTTCAGAAGCAGAGATTGGCATCCTATAGTCTGAAGGGAGATGCCGGGAGATGGTACCGACTTCAGTTTACCCCAGAGCAGAGGATGACCCTCACATGGGGATGCCGGGAGATGGTACCGACTTCAGTTTACCCCAGAGCAGAGGATGACCCTCACATGGGAGGACTTCGTATACTTCTTTGATGGGCAGTACATTTCCTCTGCAGCACGGACTGGGAAGGAGCTTGAGTTGTCCCGATTGACTCAGGGGGACATGACAGTTGCAGACTTTGAGAGCAAGTTCATGGAGTTGATACATTTCACGGGTATGTGGCAGACAGGAGAGAGTCAGGCTCAGATGTTCTTAGCAGGGCTTCGCCCTAATCTCCGTCGGTACCTCGTGTCGAGGAGGTTTTATTCAGTTAGAGAGGTAGCTGAGGCTGCCACTATGTTCCAAAAGGATAAAGAAGGGAAGACTAAGGCAGTGCAGAGTGGTGACAAAGGCAAGAACAAGAGATCTTTTTCTGGACATCAGCAGCAGCATCAGGGCTCTTATAGGAAGGGACCCCAGCAGGATCAGAGAGCGCATCAGCAGCGCAAGTTCTAGGGATCTTGTTTTAACTGTCACAAGGTCGGACATAAGGCATCGGAGTGTCGTAGCGCACCAGCAGGAGCCCAGCAGGGCAAGGGTCCGAACCAGCAGCAGCGCCAGCAGGGTAGAAGTCAGGGCCAGCAGAATAGACTCGAGGCACCACCAGCAGCTCAGAGGACTGAGGGGCAGATTCGAGCAGTTCAGGAGGTTCCTAAGGGACAGATTGTCCCATATTCTCCGTCTCTAGTAGCAGAGC